GCTAGGGGGCCGGGCTGCTGGGTGGGGGCACCGAGGTGACCCGGTGTCCTGCAGCGAATGCGCTCCTTGCACCAGAAGAAATATGGTATAATGGGAAGGTCTAGTTAATCTGTTTTGCTTTTTAAAATCTAAAGTTAAAAATATGTTTTGAGTAAAAAATGATGTTCTTTTTCTTTCTGGAACGTGACTGGAGCAGCCCAGAGAATTGAGAAGTAGCAATATGAAGAGCTTGAATTGGGAGGGGTAACGGTGTTTGGCAGCGCGGATCCTCGAACCAGGTCGCGCTGCCCTTCTGGAAGCAGCACGTGGTGGGGCCCTCTGATCGCCTCTTCTCGGGGAGCAGAGCCCCAGCTGCCTGCCCACTGGGCTGCTAGGTTCCTGTTGAATTCGAACCGCGAACCGTGCGGTGACACAGCCCAAACAAATTAGACCTGGAGACAGGCCGCGTTCTGGAGCCAGTGCTCCCCGAGAGCAAGGGCAGTGACGCCGTGAGGGTCAGCTCACTCCGCAGGGACTCCTTGGGTCTAAATGTTCCCGAGAGAAACGGTTTTGTTCAAGATTAGTAAATTCCAAAAGAAGAGCCAGGCAGGTAGGACGACACACCAAGAAAACAGGAGCTTCTAAGAGTCCGCCTGTCTCCTTATGCATTTCAGTGGGCTTTTGCTAACTTTTGGACTTCTCTCTAGTTTGGGGGCGCTTCCGGTTCCTACGCACCCCCGTTTTCTGCTCGCCTTTTGGCCCAGCTGGAGCACTCCGAGGGAGCGCTGAGCCCGGGGCCTGGGGTGGGTGGCGGCGGTATCTTTGAAAACATTCGGCTTCCCCAGCTTGCTATCCCCAGCGCCAAAGTGGACACGTTCGGAAAACAAAATTGGAGGGGGTAGGCAGTCGGGTTTTCTGTCTGAGTCAACTCTTCGGCTTAAACAGTTTTATTTTTAAATCAACTGACAAGAAAAACATTTCACTTCCCATTCCCTCGTTTGGTTGGAAACCCAGACTAAAGAAAATAAAATTCGTGACTCTGAAAAGAAGCAAACAATGAATTTCCTTTTCTCTCCCTCTTTTTTCCCTTTTGTTTCAGGCAATGTTGGGAGAGAGACAGACAGATATTGTGGATCTGGAGGGGAAAATGCCAGGTCCCTTCACCAACTCTGAGAGCCCAAACGTTGTGGAGTCGATCAATGTCTGCCCCAGCCGCGCCAGGGCCAGCGCGCCTTCCCTGTGCTACTGCCGACCTGCAGGAAGGGCAAGTCCCCGGGGCTTACTAGCTCTGGTTAAAGGAAATGCACAGACACCTCTCGTACTTGCAAATATAAAGAAACGCACACGGCAGGGGTCAGGCTTTCGCCGGGGCTCAGTCTCCAAGGGGTTCAGAGTTGGAGGCAGTAAACGCTAACTTGGTAAAAAGCATGTATTTGCTAACTCTTCATTGGAAATCACCTCACTGAGATCTGAATTTTTAAAAATTGCTTTTAATAGCAAACCTGAGAAGCATTATTTCCAAAACATTTGCACTGAAAGGAAATCAAATGTCCACAACATTTATGTAACTGTTTACAAACGAACTTCTGAAAAACCCACTCCACTTAGAAATTTGGTTGCAACTCACGAAAGAACCAAAAGGAAGGCTTTTGGAGCCCTGGTCGGTGTAGAGCGGCCACCAGACGCCTGGCTATCTGTTCTGGTAGTCGCATTCGATCGAACTTGGGTTAAAATTTAAAGCCCCTGGATCCAGCTCCAATCGCCAGTCTTCGTTCCAGAGTTTTCTACTTTCAACCTTTACAAAATGCTGCCACGCTGAACCTGGGAGCTGCCGCGGTGATTGGGGGAGGCAAGCAGGAATGTAATAAAAGTGACTAAATTGGACAACAACGGTTTATGGATCTTCTCAGTAGCAATTTAAAATTCAGAAGTGTTTAGCAGCAATTTACAACGATCAGTGAAAAAAGATGAATTATATTGAACTTCCTCGATTCCGCTCCCCTCCCCCACTCTTCCAACCTCTGCCCACCCCCCCCATCCCTAGGTTCACAGCTCACAGTTAAATTGGGAGAAGCAGACACGTGCGGCATCTCACAAGCGCTGGAAACCACACAATGCACCTACCTACCCCGACTCAACTCTGCTTAGGTTCCTTTCCCAGCCCCAACTGGACACACAGACACACACACAGAGACACAACAACAACCACCAAAATGGGACCTCAAACGTTTTCAGGAAGACTGACCTTTAGAAAATCATCGACACCGTTGGTTACCTGGGGGGGGGGGAGTGTCAAAATCCACTCCCACAAAACAATTCCTGCCTTAATTAAATTCTCTCTCAGCAGTTTCTTGGGGGAAACGTCTGTCGGAAGAAATCCTTTTTGTGAACGAATGGGAGCGAGACCTATATCAAGGCTCCTGCGGTGGACAAGCCTGCGGCCCCGCAAGTCGTTACTGACAGATCGGCGCTGATAACCCTGCGACGTTCATTTCCAGTCACTTTGCCCGCTAAGGACCGTATCAGTTTGTACACAGTTGTGATAACCATTTGGAGGGAGCGAAGAAGGGGTGTGTTTGCAGGGAGGAGAGGGGAGCGGTGATTTTGCTCTGAATCCAGAGAAGGTGATTCCCCCCGCCCCCCTTTCCAAAGACGTATCAGTGACTTACCTGAAATTCTCCAGGGAAAGCTCTGAGAAAACGGGACAACACCACGTAGAGAGGGTCCCAGAGCACGCCGGGCGTGGAATCACTTTTAAGTACACCATCGACTATCTTTTAAGTACACGAGCATTCAGAATTAAAAGTTCCCATAAGTTAGCTGGGGAGTGGAACTTCCCGAAACCCAGGAATTTAGTACATTTTCTAAGAGCAGAGGAGAGCTAGGGAGCGAGGCATCCGAGTTTCATCTTTCCCAGATCGTGGAGTCGAGACTCCAGACAGCCAAAACGACCCCAGGGTCCCGAGCAAGGATTGAGGAAAGCTTAAGGTCAGTCACAAACAACTTTGGAGTAAAAAGCTCATTTAACTTGGAAGGAGGAGCGGGGACAGCCGGCTGGGCAAAGCACTTTTTCCCCTTGTTCTGGAGGTGCGCTGACCCAGGAGCTAGCGCGCTTCTCCCCGCGCGGCCGCGGCGCGGTGCTCAGCCAATTCTCTGGTGCCCTTGCTCCCTCTCTTCTCCAGTGATTGTGTGCGTAACTGTGGGCGCTGGAGGGGGGCGCTGCAGCCGGCAGGACAGGGGTGGGTAGCCAGCCAGCCAGGTTGTGCGTTCGGCTGCCTCGGCCCCTCCCTCGGCGCCCTCGGGTCCCGCGCCCCCTGAGTGGACTAGCCCCCATTCCCGGGACCGCGCTCCCAGCTTGGCCCACGCCCGCAGGCTACGCGGAGCTCATTGTCTGCCTCGGGCTGCGCACTCCCCTCCCCCCCACACACGTCCCCTCCCCACCCTCTTTTTTCTCCTCCCCTTGCTCCCTCCTCCTCCTCCTCGTCTTCACCTCCAGCGCCCAGCTGCTCTCAGAGCGCAGTTCCGACCCACAGCCTGGCACCCTTCGGCGAGCGCTGTTTGTTTAGGGCTCGGTGAGTCCAATCAGGAGCGCAGGCTGCAGTTTTCCGGCAAAGCAGTAAGAGGCGCCTCCTCTCTCCTTTTTATTCACAAGCCGCGCTGCGCAGACCCCGGACTCGCGCTCGCCCGCCAGCGCCCTCGGCCTCTCTCCGCGCCAAGGAACAACCTCCGCCGCGGCTGTTCTCCATGCGCAGCGCCCGCCCGAGGTTCGGCTTCTTCAATTCCTTCCTCATTCTCTCTGCTTTGCTTCCCGCCACCCCACGCCTCGCAGGCCGCTTGGCCTCGGGCTCTCCTGCCGCAGTTGGCTCCGAGGCTTTTCTCCTTACTCTGCTCCCGGCGGTCTGTAGCGGCTCCCAGGTTCCCGGGACACCGCGGACCAACTTCTGGTGTCTTTTCCTCTCCCCAAAGCGCTTATCTGCGCGCACCCTTATCTCCGAGTTATCACGGAGCGAAGGGGCGGGAGGCGGTAGTCGGGCGGGCAGAGAAACTTATTTCTTGCTATCTAGCCAGGGTCTGTGTGGGCATTAATTTTAGTGTGGTTATCTCCAATGAGCCGGAGAGATTTGGAAAAGCAGCCCCAAGGAGGCCAGCCTGACTGCATTTCGCTTCCCACTCCCCACCCCTTTAGAGGTTCCTGTCATTCTTCCTGCTCTCCCCTTTGGGGTGGCCTCGGCTCGGGGCGGTCTCACAGCCCTCCTGGCCATTCCACCTCCTCTCTGCGTTCTGCTCCACCCCGCTACGTCCGATTCCGAAAATCGTTCCATTCTTTCGGTGCCGGGGATGACTGCTCGATGGGCCGGGCCGTGGGCCCAGCCCAGCGTGAGTGAGCGTGCTGGTGGCCGCAGACGCGGGCTATGGTCAAGGTGTGCCGTTCCCCGGGGAGGCGATTTGGGCGTGAGACTCCTGCACCGCGGGCTCCGGCACTGCCTCCACCCGGAAGGTCCGGGACTGCCAGTCTCCTCCCGGCGCCCCACCTTCCTAGGGCCGAATTGCATTTCTATCTGGGTCTCTGATTCGGTCTCGTCGGCGCAGTCCGGATAGCGCTAGGACCGACAGTATGGGAGAACGCGGCGGTTTCGTTTTAGAGGGCAGTTTGCCTGTCTCACGCTCACGAGTTTTAAGCGAAGAACCTTCACAATGAGGCACACCAGGCGTGAGGGACCCGCCGGGAGGCGGGATGAGGCCGCGCGAATACGCACAGCTACTTAAAGAGGTTTTTTTTCTGCGTGTCATCGGCCGAGAGGGAGCAACGTGGGGTGGAAGGAAACCTCGGGGCGCCTCGCCTTCACCCGTGGAATCTGGCGCGCGCGGAGTAAGGATGCTGCGAAGGGGCGGGAGTCGAGGGCGAGGGGACAGGAGCAGCGCGGTTGAGGGAGACTGGCGATCCCCTTCGTTCGGGATCCTGTGGCGGCTGCGCAGGCTCCATTACCCGCTCCCTCCCCCAATCCCTGCGTCCTGGGCCGAAACCGGATCTTGGTGAAATCTTATCAGCTAGAAAACGGAGTCAGGCTGAGGTGTTTTACGGCCTGCGCTTTTGGTAACCCCTCTTTATTTCTGTTCTCCTCTCCACTTCGCCTCAGGAGCTAAAAGTCACCTGGGAGCGGCGTCGGACCGTGGATGGCCTTGACTGATCGCGGCTGGAGCCTACCGAAGCGCTTTGGGGCCGCGACTGCGGACGCCGGCGACTCCGGAACATTTCCAGCGCGGGAGCCCTCCACGCCGCCTTCCCCCATCTCCTCCTCGTCCTCCTGCTGCTCCCGGGGAGGGGAGCGCGGCCCCGGCGGCGCCAGCAACTGCAGGACGCCGCAGCTCGACACGGAGGCGGCGGCAGGACCCCCGGCCCGCTCGCTGCTTCTCAGCCCTTACGCCTCGCATCCCTTCGGGGCTCCCCACGGACCTTCGGCGCCCGGGGTCGCTGGCCCCGGGAGCGCCCTGTCGAGCTGGGAAGACCTGCTACTCTTCACTGACCTGGACCAGGCCGCGACGGCCAGCAAGCTGCTGTGGTCCAGCCGCGGCGCCAAGCTGAGCCCCTTCGCACCCGAGCAGCCGGAGGAGATGTACCAGACCCTCGCCGCTCTCTCCAGCCAGGGCCCGGGCGCCTACGACGGAGCTCCCGGCGGCTTCGTGCACTCGGCAGCCGCTGCAGCCGCAGCCGCAGCCGCAGCCAGCTCCCCGGTCTATGTGCCTACCACCCGCGTAGGGTCCATGCTACCGGGCCTGCCGTACCTGCAGGGGGCAGGCAGCGGGCCGGCCAACCATGCGGGTGGCGCGGGCGCTCATCCCGGGTGGCCCCAGGCTTCGACTGACAGCCCCCCCTACGGCAGCGGTAGCAGCGCGCCCGGCGGCGGGGCCGCAGGGTCCGGCAGCGCTGGCTCTGCGGCGGCGCACGTTTCAGCGCGCTTCCCCTACTCTCCCAGTCCGCCCATGGCCAACGGCGCGGCGCGGGAGCCTGGGGGCTACGCAGCGGCCGGCGGCGGCGGCGCGGGTGGCGCGGGAGCTGTGAGCAGCGGCGGCGGCGGGAGCCTGGCGGCCATGGGCGGCCGTGAGCACCAGTACAGCTCGCTGTCGGCTGCGCGACCGCTGAATGGGACGTACCACCATCACCACCACCACCACCCGAGCCCCTACTCACCCTACATGGGTGCGCCGCTGACGCCCGCCTGGCCTGCCGGACCTTTTGAGACCCCGGTTCTGCACAGCTTGCAGAGCCGCGCGGGAGCTCCGCTCTCCATGCCCCGGGGTCCCAGCACAGGTAAGGGTCGTGTCGGAGCTTGCGAGTGGGGTCCGACGCCCTATGGCTCCGGGGATGTGGACAGCTACTTACTTTAGGCCTGTTTTCAGGGCTTTGCTCTTTGGGCTCGGCTGCGAAAGGGTTTGTAAGCCTGTGATGACCGGAGACTAGTAGCACTGATGGGGTGCGTCTGTCTTATGAACTTAGTTCCTTGCCGTGTTTACCTTAGTGCCTTGGAGAAGGAAGCGCCAGAGACTTGAGGAATGGTAAATGGGGTTGGCATTTGGAAAACGCGAGGCAGTAAGGGAACTGACAGGTTCTGAGCTCTCCCAAGCCCTAGTCGGGTGTTTATGGATGTGTCCCCTTGGAAGGATACTTTAGAGTAGTGTTCCCCTTTTCCCAAAATACACACCCACCCACCCAATCTCACCCAATTTAACTCTCAAACAGGGAGGAGTTGTGTATTTTCTTCCGGAAGAGCATTTGAAAAAAAGTGAGTAGGGAATGAAAAGATGAGGGGACTCTTGGATGTGCCAGCCCCTATTTAGGATTTCATCCTGAGGGAAAGCTGGTGGATAGGACCTGTGCCTGATGCCAGGCAGGTCTGGGACCTCTGGGGCTGCCTGCCTGCCCCTGCCTGCCCTACCCATGGATGCCAAGCTGGGGCCCAGGGAACCTGGAAGTCAAGCACTTTTTCCTACATAGAGTTAACTCACCAATTTTTTTCTGTTTCCAATTCTGCTTTTGCTCTCATTCTGGAGTATGCGGGAGGGTGCATTTGGAGTAAACTGGAGAAATACAACATCAAAATACCTGGAAATACCTCATATTGAAAAGTGTTTTTGTTTTGCTCAAGCAGGGGAGTGTGTGTGCAATGTTTTCTAGCCTAACAAAAAAAGGGCAGCTTGGCTTCTTTTCAGTCCCAGCATTCTACAGGTCCTTGATGCTTTCACAGGTCTCTGATTTGATACTTTACCTTTTGGATCACCTAGCAGACTCCTCTGAGGGAAAACAAAATGTTTTCTGTTTGTTTGAGAGGATCTCTTGGGAGCCCCTGTAATCACAGAGATAGCAAGGAAAAGGGAGGCATATTAATCCAACTGTCCTGCTTGGTGTCCTTGCCCAAGAGGCTTGGGTTTCACATGGAACCCTCAGTGTGCCCTTTAGGGACCCTGATTAGTTAGCATCGCTAACCTTGGGTTCCAAAGACAAACTGGAAACACTAGTGACCTGAAAGTTAAAAAGAAAGAAAAAAAAAAAAAAGAATTTGAATGGCCTGACTACTAACATTGGGAGGGGGTCCAACAGGTTTCTTGTTAATAAGCCCTTCCTTTCTTCCTCTAAGGCTGGCGGTTCAAACCCACCAGCCACTCCTCGGAAGGAAGGTTGGGCAATCCTACTTCCGTAGTGATACTGCCTCGGAAACCCAAGGAGGGGTCGCTATGAGTCGGGGCTGACTCGACGGCAAACAACAACAACGACATTCTTCCTCTAAGGGCTTCAAGACTGCAGCCCCTTTTTTCTTTCCCTGCAAAGCAGGCCCTGGAGATTTTACTATCTGTGTGTGGGTGGTGTGGCAGTGGCATACCCTGTTGAGATTTGCCTTGTTGGGTTGAGACCTTAGAGAACAGAGGGCTGGCTATCAACCCTTCCTGCTGCATAGGGACCCAGACAAGGAGATGAAGAATCTTCCAATAGAAAGTGGGTGCTGTGTGGGAGATTTCTTTTGTTCGGTAGGGAATTCAGCAGGGAATCTGAGGGATGTGTGAGTTGGGGAGTGTGGGCAGGTAGAGTTTGAGCAGGACCTTGCAGCTCTGCCAGTTTCTCAACACCTTCGCTTGATCTCCATATTCCTTGCCCCTCATCTTCTAGCATGTCACCTCACTGAAAAGAGAATCTGTGTTTGCCTCATGTTTAAAGTAATTGGTGCTATGTGAAAAGTCCTTTTAGAATCAGTGTAGTGCAGTTACAGGCAAGTTTTAAATTAGTGTTTATTTTCAAATTATCCTGTCCGTTCGATAATTTTCTCAACTTTTGGGTAGGACACTGCAAAAGTAGAAACATGTTCTGTAGATCAAGAGTTGTTGTTGTTGTAATATCGAGTCGATTTCAACTCATGGTGACCCCTCCTTGGGTTTCCCAGTCACTATCACTAGGGAAGTAGATTGCCCCATCATCCTTCCGAGGAGTGGCTGGTGGGCTTGAACTGCCAGCCTTCTGGTTAGCAGTCAAATGCCTTAGGCACTACGCCACCAGATCAAGAGTATGTTTGAAAAAAACAGGAAGGGGATTGGGGGCAACCAGCTTTTGCATAAAGGGTCTATGTGGAAAGCAAGATCCACAAGGACCAAACCAGTCTTCTCTTTGGAGGGAAGAAAATTACTCAGACTTTGCCTGTCTCAGCCAGGTGTTCTGTCACATGCTAGACAGACCTCTCACCAGCTTCCTAGCTAGATTCACTTTTTTTTTTTTTTTTTTTTTAAGCAACTGTTTTTGGAGCAGGCTCTTTAATTGGTTTGTGCAAACACCAGGGCTGAGACATGAGCACTGGGCTTTCTCGACCTGAGCAGTGTCAAGGCTTCTGGAAGACCTGCCCCACATACCTCTTCCTGGTCCTGGTGGTGCCGGTGCCCTGGATGAGCTCAAGGTGCCCACAGACCTCACTCCTCCAGCTCAGCACCCTCCTAAGATCCTACTCCAGGTCCTGGGACCACATACAGGCTCCATAGGAACACTGGAAAAATCTATGTGATGAGACAGAGATGATGTTAAGGAAAAAATGGTGAACAAGCTTCCAGCACAATCACATTTTGTCATTTTTATAAAAAACAGAATCCTTCTTCCCCATTTTAGTCAGAGATAAAGGATTGTAGCTGTCTGGTGAAGGAGACTAGGGAGGGAATGGGAACAATAGCTTTTTCACTTAATTAGCAGACATTCTTGTTGCAAACATCCTAGATTTCTCCAAAGAAGACTTTAAATTTTGTCTTTGGGTTTTCAGATAACTTAACTACTTGGGGAGTTCATACTGTCTTCTCCTGGGAGTCTTTATTGTTTCCAGTACAGGGCAAAGAGGCCAGGCACAGGGCTAGGTTTTCCAGGGAATGCCCCACTATATCAAGAGGGACTCTGATAGGTAACATTTTAAAGTCAACAACAAAGACAAATACCTTGTTTAACTTCAGTGTCCTTGAAGTCCTGAGCATTTTACTGATTACCGTAGTCAATAGTGGCTTTTAGGGTGGAGAAGAATAAATCTTTGTGATGTGTTGTAAGTTGCAGTATCCCCATGACAACTTTGAACTCCAGTAGTGTAGGATGCTAGTTTCTTTCAAACTAAGAAGGAGACTTGTTTTGTAGCGTAACTAGTACTAATAGAAATAAAAGAGTATTCATGCTAAAGTCACATTTAAATATTTTTACAACAAAAGGTGGGAGGGAGTGGACAGCCTCACTAGCACATATAATCCTCAAATAAAACTTCTGAAGTGTAATGTTTATTTACTCTAAGAAGTGATTCAGAAATGCTCCTTAAAGAATGCTAATTTGAAACATTTAAATCCTTTACAATATAAAGAACTCTAAGTAGGAGAAGGAGCCATTTATTATTATTTTTTTAATCTACCTTTAATTAAGGAGGTCTGGTAATGTAGTGCCTCAAGGCACTTGACTGTTAACCAGAAGGCTGGTGGTTTAAACCCACCAGGCACTCCTCAGAAGGAAGATGGGGCAATCTACTTCCGTAGTGATATTGCCTCGGAAACCCAAGGAGGGGTCCCTATGAGTCGCATCATTTAATAACAACAACATTTAATAAGCATCTATCTCATTTTAGGTAATATGTATTTGCCCATATCTGATTGAGGTGAGGTGAAGTAATGAATGTTACACCCATTTGTTCTTAAGATTTTTTAAAGCAGCTTTAGATTAATGAATTCTGACAACTAACCAAATAATAAAATGACGTATAATAAACATTTTAAATGGATTGTATAAATTGAAATGTCAGGATAGGAAAATAGAAAACCATTTTATTTAGCACAGGGAAGGTCTTAGTAATTTCCTCAATCAAAAATGTATCAACCATATGTAGAAATTTTGCAACTAGAAGCAATTAGGCATGCATATAAAACTTCACTCTAATCTGTGTCCTTAATAATGTTAGTGCTTTTTTCTCCTGAGGACGCCTGAATATTAGAATAGTAAAATTCTAATGAATTAAGTGCCCAGGAAAAGTATTTCCAATTTCATTTGTATGTCTATTTTTAACTGTGGAAAGGACTTGTAAGGAAAAGTAGCAGATGTAGAAAATGCATCTAAAAATTATCTGAGATAAAACTGAATAAGGCTGCACTGGTATCCCCGGGTATTTGTGGCTTGGAGCGAGAATCAGTGGTCACTGTTAACATTGCACGGCTTGTTCGGGTTTGGCAAGTGGCATATTGTAATTATGATGGATTCCAGTCTTGAAAAGCTTGGAAACAACCGAAGAAAATAGGTCAGGGAAGCCTCAAAGGGACCTCCCCAAAGAGAGGAGGCGGGTGATTTCAGGCTCTGCTTCTGCCCCGTCCCGATTTTCTGAGGTCACTCACCTAGGGGGTGCAGAAGTATCCGGCAAATGGTCAACGGATCAATGGCGAGGAAATCAAATGTCGGGAAGGGCGGGTGGGGGAGCGCGGGCCGCGCATCCCACCCTTCACAGCAGGGCCCTTGGGGTTTTAAGGATGCCGGCCGCAGTGTGCGTACCTTGGGGAGGCGGCGGGCGTGGCGAGCCTAACCTGGGCCACTTTCCGCTCTCGCCGCAGACTTGCTGGAGGACCTGCCCGAGAGTCGGGAGTGCGTGAACTGCGGCTCCATCCAGACGCCGCTGTGGCGGCGGGACGGCACCGGGCACTACCTGTGCAACGCCTGCGGCCTCTACAGCAAGATGAACGGCCTCAGCCGGCCCCTCATCAAGCCACCGAAACGCGCGGTGAGTGAGACCACTGCCCGGCCTTTGCCGCCCCGCCCTCCCCTCCGTCCGGACCGCGGGCCGCGCTCCTCCCGCGGGGTCGCCGCTTGGTCGTCGGGGCCTTCCTTTTCGCGCCTGCCTTCGCCGCCGCCCGTGGATCGGTTGGTGCGGGCGGTGTGGCCGGGAGCCCGCGCGGTCTCAGCGCGGCCGGAGGGGCCCGACAGTGCGCTCCTGGGCCCTTCCCAGCGCCCGCCCTCGGCTCAGGAGTGCAAGCTCCCCGACATCAGACTTGGGGATCGAAGACCGCCTTTTTCTGTGTATTTAGACGTAGGATGATGTCTTTAAGTGAGAAGGGAGAGATGTAGGGTGCTGCCATTTTTTTTTTCCCCTAAGTACGAAAAGAATCCAGTACTGAAATAATTCTAGAAGGATACAAAAGAAGTTGGCAATGGTGGTAACTGGGGAGAAAAAGTGAGTTGCGGCAGAGGTCAGGGTGAAGGAAGCAGACTGCTTCACTGTGGACTCTTCATTCTAGTTTGGTTCTGGATACTAGAAAAAGGTGTATCTTGTGTGTATAAGCAAACCATATTAATTTATAACATTTGCTTCCAAATAGAATGTGACAGTAACAGAAACTCCATTCGCTCTACTCTCCATAAAACCTCATTCTTGGGTCCCTTCTGTTCTGTCCTTTAGTACTTGTCCTCCTCCTTTTAGCCTCAAATTGCATACATCTTTTTGGGTTGCCTTTGAGTCTGATGAAAATTCATTCACTGTCATCACTGTTACTTGAAATCTGTTCAGAGAACTACAGAGAACTTGAGAAAAAGTCTAATCTGTGTGTTCTTCTCAAGTTGAGGATTTTCACCGATTTCGATTTTCTTCATGGATTAATCTCTTACTGTCATTATGGGTGTTTATTAGCAAGGGAAGGTGTTTGCTTCTGTAGTGATTAGAGAAAATAAATTAAATACTTACAATCCCTATCAAAAAGGTAAAATTTGTTTGCCCAAGTACTTACATTCTGGTGCCTTTTAAGTAAAATATTTTACAGTTAGATGCCAGACGTCTTAAATATCCAAGTAATTCATTTAATTATTATACTCTAATCAGCAGGAACAAATGCTACACATGTTGTTTGTGTTAAATAGATTAGAAGAAAATTGCATCACAATGTAAGTCTGACACCTTAAAGAGAAGCAATTAGTTTTATGGTTGTTTTGTTTTTAATGCATTTAAAATAAAGTGGCTGAGGTTAATTTAATGAGTGCATGTGCGGTTAAGGTTAAATTTATTACAACCTCCCACAACTTAAAATTTTCTTCAAAGGGTATCCTTAACTTTAGTGTGTCACTTCCCATGATTTTCATTTTTCTTACATGTATCGCATTTAAAAAGAAAAAGAAATCCATGGAAAATATATCACAAGGAAGTTCCTTGTTTTAATGAAACATTATTTTGGGGTTGGGGTGGGAAAGAGAAAGGCAAATTGAGCTGAGTAACTAGATGAGCTGGAAAGGTAACGTTTTCTCATGATTGGGTGACCAGCTGGTAGAAATCGCCATTTAAATTCAAGTCTTATTATAAATTTAACCTAGTAAACCAAACCAAACCCACTGCCATCGCCGACTCTTATCAACATTATAGTCCAGAGGAGACCTGCCTCGTAGTGTTTTCAAGGCTGTAAATCCTTATGGAAGCAGTCTGCCTCATCTTTCCCTGCAGAGCAGCCGATGTGTATGAACCACGGACCTTTAGGTTAGCAGCTGAATACCTTAACCACTGTGTCACCAGAGCTCCTGTACATTCATATTAGATAGTGCCATTTGTTTTGTTCCCTTATGGGTAAAACTGTTGCCAGAAAGAAAACAACTCTTAACATCTCTGAATCAATTAGTTTTCTTTCTGCATGGCAGGTGTCCTGGCAATGACCAAGGTCAGCCAATATGCTTTGTAAATGGGTTATAAATGATACCAATTGAAAGGTGTGTCACTATCAATTAGTTCTCCTTGTAGACTTCTTATTTATGGTTTTGATGGATCTAGCTTAGTTCTCAGAAACAGAATGCTGAACCCACGTTTGTTTAGCCAGCAGTACAGAACCAATCACTATGAATTTGAACTTGTAATACATTGCAAAATGAGATTTATAGTGTAGCTTGAATTCCTTGTCCCCGATGAGTACAACTGAGATCATTCGTTACAGGGAACTTTTATAACCCATTCACCTTCATTTCACATGTTTATGAGGACTGGCTTCACTTATGATCTGCAGTTGACAGTCATAAAGTTCTTTGTTATAATGGCAAATTCTGATAACAAGTTTGCTTCACATTGGCTCCAAATTCCACTGGAAACTCATAAATGGCCTGTTTATGAAAGAAACCTTCCTGTCCCCTAGTTCACTGATTTCACATTTATGAAGAGAAAGAAGTACTGTCCTAGGAAGTTATTTTCTTTTAATCAAAAAGAGGTGGGCAGAAGGTGAAAAAGAAGCCCCATGTATAAAGTTTTGTTAATGTTTGTTTTCATTGTTTTAGCAAATAGTATTCCTGTTAGCCAAGTACATTCATTTCCACCAAAAGTCAGATTGATTCTTTCTTAGCACTTACTTAGAAATGGTGTAGTGCTAAAAGGTTTACCAGTGTCTTTGTTTTTATAACTTGTCTGGAAAGAGTGCTGCTAAAGTGATACAACAGGATGTGAATTGTCAATGCAAAATTCAATTTTATCCTTTAAATTTGCCCACCAGGGAATTGGAAATCTCTGTTCTCTAATCTGTGAATGTTTATGCATGCTCAATTTATACTTTTGCTGTCCATTCATCACAATTTCTTTAATTTAAGAAGATCAATCAGTATAGCTAATTTTACAAATTTTTTATACATTTCAGTTTGGTTTGGGCCCTAAAATTTCCCCATAGTCTTTTGACTAAAGTCATGACACATTTTTTATAGTTGCTAATCTAGGTAATTTAAAGACAAATCATATTTTTGCTATTTGGTGGAGGAAGTTATATTGGTTTTAAATTCTCATTCTTTATAATTAAACATAATAATTTGGAGGAAATAAGTTTCCCTGCGGTTGTTATGGGCATAAAGGGAACAGGGAAATGAGAGTTATGCTCACATAGCTGGTCATTCCTGGAAATGCCAATAAGCCCTTTGTGTTAAAAATTGAATGTAATATCTACAGGGTAAATATTAGTATCATTGTATAGAAAAAAAGACTGTCAGCATTAAAAACATTGATGTCATTGATTTACTTTCTCCTTCTGAATTGTAAAACAAAAATTCTAGCAGGCAATTTTGTGATAATTATGAAATGTATTAAAGTATTGTTGCTGTTGTTGTTTGCCGTCGAGTTGGCCCCGACTCACAGCGACACCTCCTTGGGCTTCCGAGGCTTCATTATGGAAGTAGGATTGCCCAACCTTCCTTCCTAGGAGTGGCTGGTGGGTTTGAACCACCAGCCTTCTGGTGAGCAGTCAAGTGCCTTAGGCACTATGCAACCAGAGCTCCTTATTAAAGTATATATATATAAATTTATAAAGTTTTTAAACATATTTTTTAAGATACATTTCCACTGACATACGTAGACTCTTCTAATTTTCTGAGAATCAGACCTGGTTAGCTTTCAGGTAGAGCGTTGGAGACTGCCTAAAGCTACTTGGCACAGCTGTGGGTGGTTTGTGATTGAATTTTGTGACTCTTGTATCTCAGACCTTCTAACCATGGTGCCATCCACTTGAAAAGTGG